GAAAAGCACCATGCTGATATGTCTCTTGACTGAAATGAACCTAGTAATGGAAACTGGACAGTGCACCTCCTTTCAACTGGTTACAAGGCAATCAACAATGCCTCCGAGGCACTTCACAAATACCTAGTCCCTAGGCAGTGGACACTTTCCTGGGAACAAAGAGAATGCTCTACCCAAGCAGAAAGCAAATTCACATACCATTAATGGGATATACATGCTCGGTTCCAGCCTGAAGTGGGGCGGCTTCCTGGACAGCAGCACCTAGCCTGAGAGAAGGCCAATTCTGTGCCCGCAGGCCTGAGAGATTATGGGAACATGCTCCACCCTCACCAGTGGGATACCCAGGGGAATCACCACACCATCATCCAGCTCCTGGGTGTGAAGGGATGGATGCCACAGCAAACAGCTTTGATCTCCCAAAAGGCAATTTCGGTTTGCTCTTCGTGAAGTCCAACAAGGACGCTTTATACCTTCTTAGCACCTCCGATAAAAGGAAAGTGGAGAAGCAGGGGCTTTTCACGTATGTCAGCCTGAGGGTCCCTTGAGAGGTGGCCCAGCTGGCCCAGACTGAGAGCTATATGTAGCTGTAAAAAGTGGGTCAATTAAAGTCGGTGCCTTGACTCCAGTCTGCCGGCATCTGGACCATCCAGAGGAGGTGAAGCACGAAGAGGCAAGTGACACCGTCCCCAAGGAAAGGAATAGATGGATCCTTCCTCTCTCTGAGTTCTCAGTCAGCTGGCCGACAGCAGCACCAGGATGAGTGCTGGGTTTTCACTCCCTGAAGCAGCTCCCAGGAGGCAGGATTTACATGGGCTTCAATTTGGCATCTCTAATGAGCTCAACCTCTACATTCAGGTATAGACAGGTATCACCTTCTTCCTGATGCTAGTGGAAAAAACTGATCTAATTACCTTCAAGGGCCCCCTAAGAGCAACTTAAGTCATAGAAGGGAGTGATACTGCTATTGTATCAAAGTAGCTCTCAGATGAAACATCAATCTAATTTTTTCGATGCTTTTTTTCTCCTTCCTCACTGTAGCTTAAGGGCTAATCACTTACCACCCCAAGAGTCTCTTGGCCAATTAGCTGACCTTGCAAAGGAGAGCCAGAAGCAAAACACTGCACAGAGACAGCATTTCCCTATGGCAGTGGGAGGCAATTACAGTAGTGGTGCTGAAGGGCCCAGAGATGAGGAGGAGCGGGAAAAGACTACTAAACCTTGAACTTGCAGAGTACCTCACTGATATGCCATACTATGCTAAGGATTTTTCACTCCAGGCTTGCTCAGGTCCTGCGCAGAAAATAATCTTCTGAACTACACTAATGAGCTAATATGGCAGGGCTGCTTCCCAGACTTGTGCTGATGCACAGTGATCCTCTCCCAGGGAGCAAACTGTGCGTTAGCAGAAGGGAACTGCATACAGGCTCTAGCTTGGAGTGCCATATTGCTCCCTACCTCCTCTTTTTTTTTTTTTTCTCAGAAACCTGTTGTTTTATGAGTTCCCTTATGGCTAAATACTTGGACAGTGTGGGAATGGACAATGAATAATCTAAAGGGGCTGCATCTCAAAAATGATACCTCTAAGTGCAAGGCTAACACCTTCCAAAGCCTGTTTCCTAGGATGTCTTATTCATATTTCCTTCAGTCATACTGTAACTTAAAAATAGCCACACACGTCCTGTCTTCTCCCAGCCCAGTGTGCACCATTTGTCAAGTTTTGTACCCTTTTTTCTTTAGCAGTTGACTTCTCAGTTGTCTGTGCCCCTGGCTGGCAAAAGCCTAGGATTTGCCTGCAGTCCCTCCTGTGTTTCACCCATGCAAAGGCACACTCGCCTCCTGGGTCGCTAAGGTGTAGGCAGCTTTTACTTGTGTTGCAGATGTATAGGATGCACTGCCTTATGCAGCCATCCCCCCCACCAGAGCGTGCTGTGGGACTGCTACCAAACACCACCTCATTTCACAATTGCTTATTTGCACAAACAGACCGTGGCATCTGCCACTTCCATTTGCTGCAAACAAGGAGGGTAATTGACATTTGGGGCTCTGCAGTCACCAACTGATCTCTAAGGGCTCTGCAGGACTAGCAAGGAGCTGGGACATCAAGGTCTCCCTGTTGCAATCCTGTGCTTGCAGTGAAATGTGTTAGCCAGCTCAGATTAGGGGCCCCTGCCCATGACTAATACAGAACATGAAAGAATTTCTGCTGAACCTGAGGATTTTCTAAAAGGTTGTGGTGTTTTTGTTGTTTAGGGGTTTTTGGTGGTGGTGGTGGTGTTTTTTTTTTTTCTTTACAAATCCATACATCTCCTTGCATTATATTTCTGTGCAGGGAAAAATTTCCACTCTGAGCTTGATCTTGGTCACCCAAAGATTGGGCTTGGAAACTTATTCACAGCTATTTTTGAAGCCCAGTTATGAAATTTAGATTTAAAGGATTAATCACTTGAGAGCAGAACTTTGGTAAAACACATTTCTGAATTACAAACTGTGCAGAATCTGCTGCATATGCCAAAGCTAGATTACAGTACATCATGGCTAAGGTACACTGCTTAGCGATGCTGTTCTGTCCTGACCCAGATTACAGGGTTCATTCAGACTTTGGTGGTGGGGAATTAAAGCCCTGTGTGTGCTGTTTTCCAAGGCACAAAAGGGAAGTTATTCCCTCTGCAGGTTTAAAACAGCCCCTAATAATGAGCCCCTACTAGTAATCAAAGAGATGGAGAAATGTTAGAAAATTCATTTCCTTCATTGTGGGGCTTGCTTGTAGAGGGGTTGGGGGTGGAAAATGAGATCTCCTTAATCCATACACTGTGGGCTTTCACATTTGTAATAGGGATGAACTTGGCTGGCACAGTTTCTGTTAGCCGAATGCTCCTGGCAGCCGAGGACGGACATGGGAAAATTTAGCCACATTTCTTAAGGTTCAGCCCAAGAGATCCCACGGGAATCTCTGTCTGCCCTGGTTGAAGTGGATACAAACCAGCCTTCCTATGCTATTTGACTCTTCTGCCAGAAACCAGGAAGCACAGAGGGCTGGCAGGAACAGCAGAAAGATTACAGTGTAACAATCGGATTTCCCATTCCCTTACACCACTAACCCAATAAAAGCAAGCTACAAAATGTGGAGGGCTCAGGTTGAGTGTGGTGTTGTCTGTCCAAAGCACTGCACACTCCAGGAAAGCATCAGGGGCTGCATGGGTCAGAGACCTGGCCTTGATTAATCTGCATGGTCTGACTCTCCACCCTCCCCTTTACAGCAGGATAACCGCTGGATGCTATGGAACAAAAGCCAGCGGGTAAGGCAGGAGGAGAATTAGTCCTGCTATATTTAGATATGCATGATAATACAGCTCAGAAAACTGGGGATTTCTTTCCAAACAAAAGATTTATTTATACATCAAATTAAAACACACACACACACACACACGAAGGAAAAAAATACAAAAGAAAAAAAAAAAAACACCCAGTGAATCCCATTTGGATACAGTCAGTGTCAGACAGAGGGCCCTGGGGTCCAGAACCCCGTTTATCCACAGAGCGGAGCTAGCAGCAGTCCAAGCCTCCCCATCACAGCTCAGTGGCACAAGGGAGGGAGGATAAGATCAGTACCCCAGGCTCACTTGTTCCTACCCTGTCTACCCAGGCTTTGCTTAGAAGAGGGATGGGATGCTGGGGAAGTGGCAATCAGCACAAAGTGATAGATCTGAAAGCTAGGGTTGTTGCTAAAGGTTGAGAGATGGGTGCCCCCATGCCCTGACCTATTCCGTGCCTCCAAAAAAAGGGTGTAAATGCGTGACGATTAAGCCTTAGTAATATAATGAACCTAGAGGGCTGGATCCAGAGCCTACTGAAGCCCTCAAAGACACTGGATCATGCCCTGGGAGAACCTGCCCTGGGGGGCTCAGTGGACCAGAGCTGAAGTCGGTGTTTGTGGGAGTGCTATCCGCCAGTCCCCTTCCCTTGGCAAAAGCAGAAAGGTGCATGTGGCATTCACAGCCAGCATCAGCTGCACCATGGCCAGTGCTAGCAACAATAATAACGATAACGAAAAGAGCCCACACTTCTCTGAGCCTTGCAGTGGGAAAAAAATGTCAGCAATAAATACTCCTTTTCTTTCTTTTAAAGGAACACTCAAAGAGCAAATGAAAAGCCAGGAAATAATAAATTGCAGGAGGAAAATGGTAACTCCATTTCCCTGCACTGCTATCAGTCCATGCACCTGGGGTTTGTTCTAGGGCTTTTTCTCCCCCTTGTCTCCCACTCTTCCTTTTACTGAGTTATTAGAAACTCAGAGGTGATGTTCCAGGAAGCCCATGGGGAATGGGAGTATTATCCAAACCCCTCTGAAAGCAAAGCAAGTAGGAAAAAAAAATCACTTCATCTCATAATGGCACCCAAGTTTCCTTTGCCATCATCTTTCTGCCTCTGTCCTGTGGACAGCCCATCTGATCCCCTCCTGAGGTTAAAAACAGAAGAAGACAACAACATACAAACAAATTCCAGTGTTTTTGGGGGTGCGGAAGTGGGAGGAAGGAGCTCGGGGAGGGAAGTGGGGCTGAAGGGCAGTCTGAGACATGAAGACACGAACGGAGTGTAATATACAGGCTGGGCCACAGTCATTAAAGCAAATAGTAACACCTAAGCCACCGACCAATACAAACACCACAGAGGGGACAAAAGTCATCAGAGAAATCAAAAAGCAAAAACCGAAACCGAGAAAATAATTACCCAACCTCCCCCCTCCCCTTATACCTCCCATTTTCAAAAAAAGAAAAAAAAAATCTGTAAGCAAAGCCGCCCTCTGTCACCGCTCGCCCCAGCCAGCCCCGTCGCCCC